GGAGGAAGTGTTGCAGACTGACCACAGTCCCCATTCCCTTGCACTGCTCAGGGAGAGGAGGTAGAACAGGGTGGATGGAGGAGAAAGGTGATTTTAGTTTGCTTTTAGACTTAGAGCAGTGAGAAACTGTCTGCAATAGGAAACAAATTATATTAATCTCCCTGCCTTGAGTCTGTTTTGTCCATGACAGTTATTGGTGAGGGATCTTCCTGCCCTTATCTCAAACCTTGAAATCTTTTCCATTGTTTTTTTTTCCCCTGATCTTTCTTTGAAGACGAGGAGTGAGAGAGTGGTTGTGGGGTAGTTTGAGAGTGAAACCAGCACAGCGAGGAAATAATTCCCATCCCCTGCTTGGTGTTGCAGGCAGTCTGGGGCAAGTTAGTTGACCTCTTTGTGCCTCTGTTTCTCCATCTTTGTATCAATTATCATACAACTGCCTTTGTGAGATTCACTGTTTTTGGCTCTAACAGAGTTAACTTTCCTGTCATGTGTAACATACATGTATGTTTAGCAATACAGATAAAGTTTAGCAATTCTACATGCTACTGTAAAACATTGTTCCCTTGTTAGGCCATCTTAACATGGAGAAAACTCTTCTACTAAGCAAAAAGTTACGTTAGCAAAACTCACAGGCAAAACAATACCCAAACCTAATCTTTCATGCACTCTTGAGAAATTCACTTGAGCAGACTGAAAGTAGAAATGAATGCTACTGGACAGGCCTGATCTGCAGAAATGGACTTTTTCCATTCTTTCCAAGAAACAAAAATTAAGAAATGCTATTTTTGGAATTACCAGTTCTGATTTACCATTGCATGACACCATTTCTACAATAATTTGCAGGGAAATGTTGCAATTAGTCTAATCCTGTAGTGATGTAAGCTACTTTATGAATGTGTAAATAAAACCGTTTTAGTCTAAGCAGCAAAGCCTCAGTCTCTTCTCCAAACTGTCTAAAGTAATTTTGGTATAATTAGCCACCCCTCCAAATGTAATTATTCTGACAGACAATTCTGCAGTAAAGCTTCCCTTCCCCTCAGATGGGTTTTAATCAGAAAGGTCACTTTGGCTAATAATTTCTATGACCTTTTCTCCCCATCCTCCATAAAGTTGAAAGCTTGAGTTAACATATGATGTCTTTAGGGGGAAGGAACATCCTGTCTTCTTTGGACTGAGAAGCATGCTATAACTCTGACCTACAAGAATAACTTCTGGGAGAAGAAATAAAATGTAGTCTCCTAAAGCAAGTCTTTGGCTTTACTCCCAAATTCCTGAGAAGGCTACTCTAATCACAGCATCAAACAAAAGGGTGATTTTTTAATTAGTTCTGTGCTTATCTAAAGCAGAGTGCTGCTTATTCTTTGACATTTGCTGACTTCCACCCAGTTTAAGCAGTTCCTTAGCTGCCTTTCAGCTGACCAGTGTCGACAATAACAACAATACTTTTTTTATACACTTGAATCTAAATGCAAGTTAGCACTGCACATGTATGCATGCGCACACAAATGTAAGTAAGATCTGAACATTTCCAAAGGCAACAAGTCCCTCTGGAATAGTAATGAATAGAGAAATCATCTTGTGCCCTGCATGAGATAGGTGCACTTCAAGATTTTCCTATATAGCTTCCATGAAAATTGGCCCCTAAGCAAGGGTGTGAGTCATTGATGAATGCAGCTCTAAGGCTTCACGCTGTGCAGCAAGAGCTGTAAAAGGCATTAGAGGAACACAGGGGAGGAGGAGGAGAGAGAGAGAGAGAGGTTAGGAGGTTATTAAATAAAACCTAGTAATGGTTTTACATGGACATTTTCTGAACAGTGTTTTGAAAACCTATGTCCAAACCACTGGGCACTGACCAGATTACCGGCTGCAGCGCCCTCTGCTGGCGGGCGCTCACGGGGGGCCGTGCGTAGCCTTCGCTGCCGTAGAACAAGTTTTGCCGACCCTTGCAAGGATTTGTTGTCCCAGCTACACTCGTAATGTCTCCCAGTAGAAAACTCCACTTGTAAAGGGAAAATTACCCTATGCCACTGGGTAAAAACTGTGCTGGAATATTGATTTCTCCTCTGCACCCATATCCACAATATGAAAGTCCACAACCACAAAACTGTAACAGCAAAGTCACTCTTTACCAGCGTAGTTGTGCAAAAAGTATGGAACAGGTCAAAGAGAATCTACTGCTGACTGATCTGAACTTCAAATTTCAGAGGTATCTGGCTTACACTTGTCTTTCTTTCCTTAAGATCAATAAATTAAAGCTGCTGTCAATTCATCTCATTCACAAGTTAGTAAAGGACTATACATAACTGACAACACATCTGTCTTGAATTATGAGCAATTCAGCTTTTTATGTATCTGTGTTTCGCCTATCCAAGTTAGAAGATCCAAGTGTCAATACAGACATAACATTTTTAGTCAACATGCAAGACACTGTCATGCCACATTCCCCATCCTTCATGCTTTCAACACGTTCTGTCTTCTACTCACCGCTGCTGTTTCCTCAATCTCTTCCCATTTTTGCTTCTTCCCTTGTGTTACCAGTCTTGGGATATCAATCTGAAAGAAGAGATCGAATACATCCCATTGAAAACATCTTGAGACTTACAGATGAAAGGACTTCAATGTGAAATTTAGTATAAACACTGTCTAAATGACAGTAGCTGGCTGTGTTGCAGTTGTAAACAATCTAACAGACCTTTAAATGGGTCTTTTTCTTTTTTTTCCAGGAGACACTCAGCCAACAGACCTTTCTGTATTTTAGATAACAGAAATGCCTTGCTAGAAAACAAATCATAAGAACTTGAGAATTTAAAAAAAACCTTTGGAACAAACAAAAAATGGAACTTTTTTTCTTCCTCCATAAGACATAAAAGAGGAACAACACATTTTAAATGCAGTAAAACAGTGATTTTACATTTATATCCTTTGAAGAAATAGGTGTAGTGGTCTACATTACTGAAAACTCAATCCAAAAGGAATGCTGAAACAGGAAAATAGTGTGCCACACTGCAATTATTTTTGTTTTTCCAGACAGCCTTAACACCTATACATTTTAAAAGAAAAGAAAAACCTTGGTGTACTTACTGATTTTTTTTTATTCTTAGAACAGAAATTACATTTCCCTTTTTAACTAAAGAGTTTGATAACTGTTAAAAAAAAACAACAACAAACACAAACCAAACACAAAACCATCACCCTGAAATGCACAGACGTGCAGCACCATCTGCTGGATCAGCATCCCTGCCAAAAATTTCTGCACTTAGCAGAAGATAATTCCACAGGCTAAAAAGAAAAAAAGCCATACAAACAAAAGTATGTAGTACATCACAGACACTAATTTAGCCAGTAACCAGCAAGCAGAGGGAAGGAGCACGGAATTTCCATGAAAACTGCAAAATAATACTCTGCTCATACAGCGCTTTCTACATCTCTATTTATACACTATAAACATCATTGTTTCTCAATACGGTCACTGTTGCTACCATGCCACAGAACCACGTTCTGTATTCAAACTCACTGCAAACCCCTTCCCCAAACCTCCTCCAACAAGCACGTTTTAATTGTGCTCCGATTAATTTATTTCATGCCTTTTCACCTATTAAGCCTTCAAAGACCTAGCAGTACTTATTTAACCTTCTAAGGATATCTTCTCCTAAGGATACAAAGTCATCTTTCTTTAAGCTGGACTCCTAGCAGCTACTTCTACATAGTTTCATGTCTCCTTTTTGAGAGTAAATGTTACGCTGCTGCAGGAGAAGATGAGTTAATGCTTCAAGCAGACAACAAGACAGATAGCTACCAACAGAAGGCTTCTGCAGCAAGATATTTCCTTCAAAGTCTGGAATGCCTTTCTTCATCCAGGAACAACCAAATTCAGTGGTAGGGGATGCTTCCCAACCCAGAAATATAAATAAATTCAGGTTCAAGACACCTGTTAAGAGATAACACTAGCAGCCCGTTCAGAAACAGGACGTGCAGCAGGCGCTCTATGGCAATCTATTATTTGGCATTACCAGTAACAGGTGAGCTGAGCACTCACACCGGCCCAGCTGTGATGGAGCATGCTGGGGCACAGAGCACTGAACCAGGTGGGATTCTGACGGGCTGTGAGCAGCCTGTCTGCTGAAGGCATTTCAGCCTGAGGAGTTCAAGTTCAGTGAGGTTACAAGCAGTTACAGGTAAAGTTGCCTTCAAATAATTCTACAAACAGCCCTGCTCGTGCCTTGCTGCAAGCTCTTAGAACTTTCTGGATTTCGCACCAGTGGACAGCAGGCTTCTCCCTTACCTTCCTACCGACCAAGGAAGGACTCACATTGCAGCCCTCGCTTTTCCCGCACCACAAACATACAAGCTCAAACCAGAACATAAACCTTTGCTCTCCACCTACACTCACTTCACCTCGTGCTGCCCAGGAGGTACTTCGGCCACAGCCTTGTGATGCCTGGAATAAAGGGCACCGAGCCATAGGGGCATAAAAGGGGACAAAGGAGGGAGGAACAGCCTGGAGGCACTTCTGGTATCAGAGCTCACCCAAGGCGAGGGGAAATGCTGAACTGCTGCGTTAAGAGGCAGGCGGATTTTTGCTCACCAATCTAACGAGCTAAACAGCTCTTTTCCTCTTAGGAGTCGGGCTGCCTGTGGTACCAACCGTGCAGCAAGAACCCCTGGTGAGCAACCAGAATCCTTCCGCTCAGTGAAAAGCAGCCCGCTCTGCCTGTTAGAGCCAAGGAGGCAGAAAGAACTACAAAACAAATAAATAAACGTGAAATTGAGAAAGACCTGCTGTGTTTTTGAGGTCTCGTTACACAGAAGATAAGCTTCGGAGCCGACCAGCCGACGCTCTCCGCCAAGGAGGCGCGAGGGGCGCCGCGCGCACAGCCGCTCTCCCCGCGAGGCGGGGCGGGGCGGGGCGGGAGGCGGCTCCCGGCTCTGCACTTCCCGTTTGGTTACCGGGGCCGCGGTTGCTAAGGCGCTCGGCCGCCCTCCTCCTCGTACCTGAGGCCATGCAGAGCACCGGCGGCCGCTCCACCGCCTCGGTGCTGGCCGAGCTCCAGTGGGACGATGGCTACGCCGTGCCCATGGCCGACGCGGAGAACAGGGCGTTGGAGGACGACGTGAGCGCGGGCTGCGGCCGCGGGGCTGTGGGGCGGAGCCGAGGTTCACACACGGCGGAGGGGCGAGGGGGCTCCGGCAGGTCGGCCCGCGGAGCTCGGGAGCGCTTGGGACACGTTTGTGTGCTGGCCGCTGCTGGGTGCCGGCAGCCTCCCAGGCTTGATCCGCAGCAGCACTTAACGGCTGCTTTTGCCGCTTGTTTAAAATGTTTAAACATTTCACTTGGCCTCTTTGAGCAAGAAGTTGCAGGTAAAAAGCGCTGCCCTCCAACGGCTTTATTGACAGTTCTAACTCTTAAACAGCTACAGAAGATGGAGAGAGAAAAAACGAACCTGCAAAATCAGCTGACTGACTTTGAAGAGCGTGTGGAAGCGATGACATCTCACTTGAAGAACGTGAGGCAGGAGTTCAGCTTCACCCAGGTAAACTGGCCACCCGGCAGGCCTGTCACTGACACTCAAGCAGCGCTGCGATCTGAGCGCCTGTCTGTGGTTGGAGTCCCTGTGTGGCAGCTTTGCAGGAGTTCCTCTGGCCTTTCATCTGGGACTTTCACAGGAATCACAACTCAAACTGTGGCCCCCAGTGATGGCAGTTGATGGTCCATAAAAAGATCCTTCCTGGATCAAATGATGGTACCTGGAAAAAAAGCCAAAAAGGACACAGTTTAGATGTCTTTACTTGTAGATTTTAGGGGAAAAAAAAAAAAAAAAAAGAAAAAAAAAAAAAAGTCAAAGAAGAAAATGAGTGTTAGGGAAAAACATTTCTAACCTTTTTAACAGTCAAGAGTTAATTGTCAGATTCTAAAGAAGAATGAGATGGTAAAGGTGCAAGAGTGCACTTTTGTTGTGAGTTAACTGGCTAAAATGGGCTGCTTAGCTTTCTAAAGAGTTCCAAGTCACAGCTGCACACCTCTAAAGTTGAGAAACTGTCCTGCAACTGACCAACTTTCCTGTCACTGTGCTAGCTGCACACTTTAATTGGCGAGTGAGGAAAGAGGCAGCACATACCATGCAAGAGAAGCCTCTAGAAAGTGACAGATTTGTATTATGTAAGGGAAAAATCCTGTCAAGTCACTTTGTCAGAAAGATTAGACATGATACTGCTGTAGGCCAGCCTGGTGGTCTCTCTCAACACAGAACAATAAAAGCATTTAATTCCCTGTACCTTCTGAATCTTACTTATAGCTGCTGTGAGATTAAGATTTTTATTCTAAGACACTAAGATTTAGACTATTTAGACTTCGGAAGATCAGTATCCTGAATTTAGGGTGAAATATCTTTGACTTGGGTTCCTAGGGCTATACATGGTTGATCTGGGATAGCTGATACAATGTGTATTACAAATATATATATAATATTTACATAAAAATGCATTTACATGACAAAATCATGTCCTCTCTTTTGGTTGATTGGTGATGAGGGCCTGTTGTCTGTTGTAAAATGCTGAACTCTGTTATTCTCTAGTCTCTTTACAAAGCCAGAGAGAATGAAATTGAAACTGAACAACACTTTAAAGCCCTTGCTGAAAGAGAACATGGACGTCTTAAAAGTGAGATCAAACGTCTGGAAGATGAGACCGTTTCCTTAAGAGAAAAGAAAAACAGTCAAGAAGTAAGTTTCAAAACTTTTGTAGAAGAACTTCAATATTGTAGTTAAATTTTATTACTTTTGTCCTCACTTGCAGTTAAAGAAATAATATTATGAGATTCAAGAAAGCTGTCTATAATTAAAATTTTTAAACCATAATAAGGTAAATAGAATGACACTTAGGTTCTCCTTGCACAAACTGGTCAAAACTTAGCAAATATTAACTAGATATTGAAAGATTTCAATTCTTAATGCCAGATACACAGCCACACATCTGTGCCCCTATCTTGATAACTCTGGAAGTTGTTTTCTTTATGGTTCACAGATTAGATTGTTGGTGGCAAGTCTTCTTTCCCCCCTACAGTAAATTCAGGGTATGATTTTGAAATGCAAAGGTTGCTTTACATAAAGAAAAAAAAAAGATTAAAATTGAATGCTGTATAAATACAGCATCTTCATATTTTACGGAACAGTCTCTTATTTTTCTACAAATTATTTACACTTTTGTTTTCCACAATCTCTTTCTTCTTGTTATGTCACTTTGTACTCTCCACTCTCTCAGACAAGGTAGCAGAATGAAGATATCTTTGCTATTCAGCTGCATCCAGATACTATCATATTTATATCAGGAAGTCTCTTCACAGTCATCCGGGACCATTTGTAAATTCCTACACAGGATAAGGATCTAAGAACGAGGCGCTGAATGTGTGAGAGAGAAACTTCCCCGTGTTGCCTCAGATCAGTTTATTATGTGGTGCAAACATGTTGCACGTCGGTGTCACTTGCAAAGAACTGACTTTTCTGGTTAAAATCGTTTGCATTTTAGGTTTCTGATAACTTATTGCCTTGTTTCTTCTTTAGGACATATATTAGCACTTCTCAATTATTGGACGCAAAAAACAAACAAAACCAACTCAAACTACTTATGGATTCTATTGACAACAATATGTGTGTAAACTTGCTACAGTGCTTGAAGCAGTTGTTTCAATTACTAATCAAAGAAAATATTAGCTATTTAACATCAACCCTTAAATTTATTTCATGTTTTATTAGAACACTATAAATAAAACCACGAAGAAGTTGGAAAGCTTAAAACAACAGATGAACTGCGATGAGGAAGTTTTGGAGAGTTGGATAAAGGAATCAAATCGCAAAGATAATGATATTATCACAATCCAGAAATATGCACAACAAGACGAAGGGAAACTAGGAGTAAGTAGAAATGACTGCGATTTTCAGAAACAAAACCAGGAAAACATATTTCTTTTTTTAGCAGCTAAAGACTTTGTTATGTTGTCAGATCAGGTAAGAGTGAGATTTTGTACAGTTTAAACTCATGATTTCTAATTAGCACAAGAGTGCTTGAAGAAGGCTCATTTCAAAGATAAGAGAGAACATGTTTGACAAAAGATGAAATGCATTACTGAAGACAAGAACTTCTTTCTCTGTAAGGGAAACATTTAAGTTTGAAATTTTCTGAGAATATGTACAAATAGCTAGTAAAAAAAAATTAGACAGCTGACAATTACACTTAATTCAGCGGGAAGTTTGTTCAATAATGTGAGTCAAATTTGGAAAAGTAATGTAGATTTTCTCATTAGAACTAAAATTTTTAATATTACTTAGTATAAAAGATTGCTATTTCATGCAAGAGTAATGAATATTATACATGCATATAAATAGACACTCCCATCACAAGTTCAGACTTCCTAATGGTTCGTTCCCAACTTAATTTACACAATATTAATTTATAAGTATCCCTTCTTTTTAGCTTTGAAATACAGTGGGGAGAAACCTGCTTTTTAGTCATTAAATATTTAACCACAAAACTTTAATTTAGACTCATAGTCTCACTGATAACATCTCCATTAGCAAGTCACATGGTATGCTAAGAAGAGTTGGGTGAAACAGCTGGTGGTGAGGAGTCCTCACACACATTATGCACGTGGTGTAAAAGGTTCCTTTGGCCTTGCTCCAGTCTGGGCCTAGGGACATAAGATTATGGCCTCTTGTACGAAGAAAAAATTGGGTTCTTAGTTCTTTGTTCTGTAAAATAGAATAAAATGGATGCCTCAATAACTCCATCCTCAGTTGCTGCAGAGTTTCAGAAATTTAAGATTTTATATATATATACTTTTAAATACAGACTGTTTTCATATCATTTCATTTCAGGCACTAATCCTTCAGGTAGAAAAGTTGACCATGCAAGCAAATCAGAAACGCAGAGCTCTTGATAATGAGCTTACAGAAACCATAACTGCTCAGGTTTGTCCATGAGGTTCTTGAAGTATCTTTTTATATACAATTTTTTTAAAACAAGAAATCATAGGAATGCTTTTACTAAGCAGATGGAGCTCGACAAGACAGCTGAAGATTTTCGCAGAGTTCACCATGAAAGGCAAGAAGTCATCAGGCAGTGGGAGAACGCAATACAGCAGATGCAAAAAAGAGATCAACAGATCGATCACTGTGCTTTGGTAAAACTGCTTTGCCTGATTTGTATCACTATGTCAGCCTACTTTTCTATCTGCGAGATTGAGAGAAATTTTGCCACTTACTCATGAGAACAATTGTTTGTTTGTTTTTTTTAGATGCTTAGTGTTCTTTTTGTTGACCTCTGTATTTTATTAAGGTGTTTTCAAGGTCCATCTATTTGTGAAACGTAGTCAGAATTTATTTTGAAAGCATTCTCTCTCAGTGTAAATAATAGTGCTCTGCTTGATGCTGTATCAGGTTTAATTTTCAGCCTGAAAATGCAATGCATGCCAGTTTCAGTACTGCTCTTTTGTATGACCTAAGAATCTAAGAAGCGACAAGATGGAGTGTTATTTATTTCTTAGAGTGCAAAGACAGCAGCAGTGAGGGGATTATGTCTGGGATGTGATATAAAGAAAGGAAAAGAAAATGGTGAACCTTTAGAATTGGAAGGAGTTAGCATTTCTACATCTCTGAACAAATGTACAAGAAGTCTTAACAGTAATCTGTCTTTTGGTTTTGCTCTAATCTAACACATTACATAATGTAAGAAAACCTAAAGTGTTTTTCTCCCAATAGCTACTAGCAGAGTTAAAACAGGAGATGCGAAAGAAAGAAAGTGTGCTGAAAGAGAAGGCTTCCTTTTTAGTGAATGAAACTATTAATAATATGGAATATGAAAAACGAATTTCTGTTGCTGAGCGAGAAGCAACCAGTCTCCGGAGAGAGTATCAAACTCAGGATGCTTACAGAGTTCAGCTGGAGAACGAGGTGAGGATGTCCAGTCAGTGTGGAAAACCAAACTGAAGCTATAATTTCTTAATTTTGATTAGATGGAGGAAATACATGAATAGCATTTACTTTTCTGTTCACATACTACGCTCTTCAATAGTTCAACAAAACATCTGTTCTTCCCAGTTTACTCTTGATTATTTAGATCTTAAGCCTGAATTTAAACCCTTCAACGACAGCACTGAAGAAAAGCAAGCATACGGCCATTGAAATGAGCTTGTATTCTCTGTGGTGATGGAATTAAATGAATTCATTTGCTCTTAAATGATATAACACTATTAGATGCTTCAGATGGGTCTGGCTTTTACTGTACCTAGACTCCAGTATTGTATACAGATCAGAGAAATGTCTTCTGAACAATTCCTGTCCTGTACTGCCAGAAATGAGCGTTGATTGCCCAGGGAGTCAGATTAAAATTCTTGAAAAACATTTTCTCATAGCTTTCTAATCAAAGGCAACTCTCCTGTGGATAGGAAATGTTTGATGTTGTTTATACTTATATTTAATCTGCATTTAGAGCCAGAAATGAGCCACATTGCTTCATTACTTAAATATCTGTAGTAGTTGTTCCAGGAGGTAGTTCATGAATCTGTGCAGGAGGGATACACTTGGATTACCTGAGTAAGTTTTCTCTCAGCAAGAAAAGGGTTTTACTGGGCTACTCTGCAATCTTGGCAATTTAAAAGTTTAATAATTTAAAAATTTAATAAAATACAGTTGAATTAAGTTTGGACAGGTTTTCCATACGAGGTGGTTCATGTACTGATTTCCTAATTAATTTATTAGCTGGACATTTTGAAATCCACTGTGAACAGAACTGCTTCTCATCTGGAGTCTTTAAGAATACAGGTAACTAATATGAAGAAAGAAATTGAGAAAAAAAAAGCCAGGTAAGAAACAGACTTTTAAAAATACAGTTTGTAAGAATTACAGATATAATCAGATCCTTCTTCTAGCAAAGAATCTTAAATAACGTTAATTATTAAAGCCTCCCAGCTTCTGGTTATTTCATGTCTACTTTACTACTGTGTACAGTAATTTCTTAGTTAGAAAATATTCCTGGTAACCACTGTTTATTAAAGGGAGTGGAACAGCCAGCTAGGACCGTGGTTATCACAGCTTCCAGTTCAGTCTGTGTTATTAGGCAGCTGCTCAGTAAGATACTTTATATTTGATTTCAGAGGTGTTTTAAGTGCAACATGCATGCAACTTGTTAAATCATCTATTTTTGTTTAGACTGAGCTATCTTAAAGAAAGAAATGCAGGTCTTTCCAACAAGTTGAAGCTTGTAACTGAGAAGACGCTCAGTTCAGAAGACAATGCTTTGAGAATGGAAGAAATGCTAAAGGAAGAAGAGAAAACATTCAAGGTAAAAATGTTTTTATGGCTTCTACAAATGAAGGTTCATTTGAATTTGCAAGCTCTTTCTAGAACAAACACTTAAGTTGGAATAATAAAACACTCCATTAAAATGAAAAACCTACTTACTGCCACTTAAAACTATTACCAGGGTGGCTAAACCATTAGCAGGGTTTCTCTACTCGCGTCTGTGGCGGATAACCTAAGATGACACTGAGCTTGGCAGCTCTGGAGCTTCAGGGTAGTATTTTAACTTGGATGCGCTATTCTTGAAGAGTATTTTAATGTATTAGTCAGAAAGATGCTTTCCATCAACATTAGCTACACATGACTTTTTGTGGCATCTATTAATTTGCTGTGAAGAGATACTTACAGGAACAATGTGGATGAAATCTCACCATTTTACGCTTTAGTGCTCTGATACTTCTTCTTCTATCTCTGCCAATACACTGTTGTGCCACCAAGCTTACTGAATATCCTTGTGCTATTGACAACCACATTTAAAGAGAGGGGGGGAAAATTCTACTAAATCATTAAGATATGCAAGAGAGACTATGAAAATAAGGTCAAATCTTGATCCAGTTTCAGTTGATGAATCAGTAATTATTTCCACTAGGTTCAGAAATATACCTCAAAATTGGACACAGGAAATTAAAAAGCTTACTTCTTCAGTTCCTCTGCTTGAGTATGATCCAGGGTCTGCTGAAGTCAGTGCAAAATACTATAGTCCTTAATAGATTCAATACTAAACTCGCCTTGCTTTTTCCATCCTGAGTTTTTGATTAGGAATTGCGCTTGCTGTCAAGTTCAGCTACAAAAAAATCTGATGGGTGAATCTGGTAATGAACTTCTAAAGGATCTAACTCATCTTACAACGTTACTAAAGCCAGCAAGATCATTCACAAGCAAAATTCACAATGCATACTTATAAAATCAAAAATAAGTGCACTTTTAATCAATTTGAAGAGTGAATTCTGTAGTGTTTTGCTTTATTAATTAGAATGTGCATATTCAGACTCTGTACTGGAGCTGTACTAAAGGTAATTGAGCCTTTCAGAACAGGACTCTCACAGGCAGCAATGCCACTTACCTCATTTTTGCAGTGTACCTTACAAGAAACAAGTATACAGAGCTGCCTGAGCTTTGGAAGGTCTTTTGTCATTTGGGGTGGTGGCGGGGAGTAGTGGAAGGATGGGAAGGAAGAGTGCTGTCTTCTTGTTAGGGTTACTCAAAAAACAAATTCTATTCTGTTTCATAACATTCCTGGTTCCCTGGAATGTTCAGCACTGTCTTTGTCCTAGCAAACCCTCCTCAGACCTCGTTTACTGTGTCAGTGGTAACTTACCTCTGTGGATAAGGAAGTGATTTAAAAATGTATACTTAAGTTCATATAATAGCAGGATAAGATCAAAGTTAAGGCAAAAAATCTTTTCTCTTGAGTCAGTTTTTTTCATTGACAGCCATTTTGAAGACCTGTGAAATTCCATATTCTTATTAATGGATATAGTATTGAAATTTTTTATCTCCCTACATATGATTAATAAATCTTCCCAACTTACTTAACGATTTTGTCACTAGGAAAAAGAAGCAGAACTGGACCACCTAAAAGAAGTATTTTTCAAGAAAACTCAGGAGCTAAAGGTGCAGATGGATAAGGAGAAATGTGTTCTGGCAGAAGTTGAGGGAAGTCGAGCATCACTTAAAAATCTTAACAGCCGTCTGCGCAGACTTGATGCAGATGCATTAAAACAACAGGAATTGATATATAACCAGGTAAAACTGATATATAACCAGGTAAAATGTCAACACACTTTTCTATTCTGATTGTTCCCAAGTATAATGAGAGTAAGTTGGTCAAGTTCTGTAATCCCTGTCCGTCTTTTGAAATTCTTGCAATGCTGTGCAGTGTTAATCTGAAGTCTGCATTTCTGTCTCTAAATGTATCAGTAAAATTGAAATAACTGAAACTTGCTGTGTATCACTTATGTTATGTTCATATGTATCTTGTTACTTTTTGGATCTGATACTTTTCCCACTAATTTCTCAAATCAGTTATTTTCTTTGATCCCTGTGAACCATGGACACCTCAGGGTAAATTTTTAAAGCAATACAAGAGGTACATGCCAAAATCCTTTTATTTACTAATTGGATTTTGTGCAAATTTCTTATGCACTACTTTGAAAATTTGCTCTTTTATATTGGCATCCACTGGTAACAGCAAGATGGCAACTATGCTGTAAGCCTCCCTTAGAGCAGACTGCTTGAGCGTGCTTTGTTATTCTTCTAGCAGATTACTTCTGAGCCATCTCTGCACATCAGTCATCTAAGAATATTCTGATAATGTTTTACATTTATGAGGTCTATAAGCCATAAATTACTATAAAACAATAGCTTAATTAGGTGACTATCCTAAAGCAACATTTAGATCCAGCATTCTAGCTTTATAGGAAGGCTAGAATTGCTTATCTCAGACGATGAATTCACTTTCAAATATTTTAACAGGATTTTTATATTCAGCAAGTACAGAGACGTCTGTCACGGTTAGAAGGGGAGGTTAATGCAGATGAAAAACAAGTTTTGGAAGAAAAAGTTGCTGAACTTAAGAAAGCCTTGGAAGAAAAGAAAAGTGCATATGATGTTTTAAATGCACAGCACAAGAAACTTCAGGTATCTTCCTTAGAACATGAGGTTGACTGTGTTATGTTTATAGCCTGCAGTATTATTGGAGTCAGATAATTTTATGAAGATGAACTAAGAATATCAAAGTCGTGGCCAGACATGACTGCAGATGTTTTAATTTTTTTTAATGGACCAAAATACAAGATTATATTAGTACTGCCTTATTGGCTGAAGTATGTATGTTGTTTAAATAAGAATTAAGTACCAGACTCCAAATGAAGCAATGACATCAATATTGCAACAGCACTCTCCATCAGGACTGCAGTGCTCTAGGCACTGCTTATGTGGCAGAATACAGACACATGGACAAAAGATGGTTATGGCACCTGGCTCCAGCACTTAATTCTTTTCATTTAAATATACCAGTAGCTTTTTGTGCAACTTTCATTAACAGAAATAAATTAAATATAACTTAATTACGTATAACTACATATAATTACATAAAATTGAATTAACAGAGTGATGTCCATTTCATCAAAAGAGCAATGGATAAGACAGGAGAAGAAGCAAGTGGTCTGATGATCAAGATAAACGAACTAAATCTTTTCAATGAGAAATCAGATCAAGAGTTAAAAAAAGCTAAAGCCATTAAGCAGGTACTGTATTATTTTGCATTTTTTCTAATACAAGGCACTATTTTTCCCCCTAATGTACAGAAATTCATGTGAAGGTTGGTTGTCTTGCCTGGAACTACACTTTATCCATAACAAACCCCTATTTTATTATGTTACACCTTCCATCCCCAATTTTTATTTGAAGTCATTTTCATCACTGTAATCTTACCTAAAAATGATACTTTCTTAGTTTGAGACCTTTCTGGCATTTGATAGGAGATGATGATTGAAGATAATCTCCTAAAACTGGAATTGAAGCGTCTTCAAGATACACTCTGTAATAAGACAGAGAAGGTTTTAACACTGGAAAAGCAGAAGTTGGAGTTAAAGAAAGCCATAGCAGAAAGGACTGAGGAAATTAAGATCCACAAGGCAATGCTGGATTCCCAGATCAGACTCGTGGATCAGGAACGGCAGCGCATAAGGTAAGTGCAGCAACTCCAAAACAACATTACAATTTAAAGCTTCATTTAAAATATAAAAGTCCTAACAAATCGTCCTTCAGTTCGTTCAGTTCTTTCATCTGAAACTAATTGAGAAAAAAAAAACAAAGTAAAAAAATTTTCTTAAGTACCTTTTCCATGAGCTTGCTTGAAAAAAAGGCATTTTAACCAATTTTACCAGTTGGAGGAAGTGAGAACAGAGTAAATCTTGCTGTTAGTCATGTACTGCGACAGGTGAGGCTAACAAGCAATCTTCTCTGAAAACTGGAGCATTAAGCACTAGACAGATCTCTGTCTTTGCTGTCCATTCTCACTGATTAGTGAGAGACTACAACTTATTCTGTTACTGAAGATCCCCTACAGTATTGAGAAGCCTCAGTCGCAGGCATTTTGTCTGAAGCACATGTTGTGTGTGCAACCCTGCATTTTTCAAAATAATCAGGAAACGTGCAGTCAGTGGCTGGAGCACGAGAAAGTACTCAAAGAGTTTAAAACTCGTATAGTATGGGTGTTCTTTTATTTTTACATTAAAAAAACTGTACTTAGTTATCTGTTCTATACAGCAAAAAATAAAATCTGCTCAGCTATGTGGATCTTACTTCTTGCCAATGTACTGTAATACAGAAGATGCCATCTGACAAAGCAACCACATAAAAAAACCTTTTCCCTTCTACAATAATCACTCTGAAGCATTTGGAACAGGCTTTAACTCTTAAATGCCAGTATCTGTATCTAGTAAAAAATCAATGCTTTAGCAGCTGAACTCTGAAGTGTGGCAGGGTTTTTATTCACTCCTCTGCTAACCCCACCCCACAATAGGAAATTAGAATGAATTGGTGTGACTAAAACTTAACTGCTCACCAAGAGCACAGAATGGGTGTCTTTTTCCTTTGGTAATTACGCAGCTAATTGATACTTCCATGTAATTTGATTTGAGGTGTTTGCTTGCTGTTATCTCGAAGTGGCAATATTAAGATAGGATCAGCAGGGGGCAGCTTGCGCAGCTGCAGGATTTAAATGCCAAACCTTTAAACGTTTTCAGGGAGGACTGTGGCACAGCCCTTCATAATGTTATGATCTGAAATGTGAAAATAAATCTGACTCATTTTAGAACTGAAAACAGTAAATAACCAGAAAAACAGGTGACTGTGGCTGGGAGAATACAGAAAGCATCAAAAACCAGGAACAGCACAAATGCTGCTTTACCCGCATCCTCATAGAGAGGCAGGCTGCAGGTCTAACAATAATTTAAGCTGCTGCAGCAAACTGCACACAGAATGATGCTACACAAACATTTGCTCATCTCATTTGTTTTTCCCCCATAAAATTCAGTGCTGAATTTCAAGATCGCCTAAATAAAATTGATAAACTGAGATGCAGATATGAAATTCTTACTGTTATCATGATGCCACCTGAAGGAGAAGAGGAGAAAACTCAGGCCTACTATGTAATAAAGGTATTTTATTATGCTTGTGTTCAACTTAGAATCACAGGATCACCAAGGCTGGAAAAGACCTCCAAGATCATCCACTCCAACCACCCACCTATCACCAATATCTCCCACTAAACCACATCCCTCAGTACAACATCTGTGCATTTCTTGATTTCTTCGCTGAAATCCAAAAAGATTTTATCTGCTGGCCTCTCTTGGTGAACTAGACAGGTGACCTTGTCACAAAAGGAAATTAAGTTAGTTAAGCACAACTTTTCCTTTGTGAATCTATGTTGGCTGTAACCAATGACTATGTTGTTTCTGATGTGTTTTTCAGTAACTCCCAGAATAATCTCCATAATTTTATTAGGCAGCAAAGTGAGACTGTCAGGCCTGTAGTTACCAGGATCTTCTTTCTTTTCTTGAAAATTAAGACTCTTCCCAGTTTCCCATCAGCTGGGACTCCTCCTGATTCCCAAGGCTGTTGAAAAATGATTGTGAGAGTTCTCACAAAAACATCAACCCTTCTTTCAGTAACTTGGAATGAATCCCATTGGGTCCCACTGACTTATGTGCATCCAGCTTCTAGTATTGTAAATACCTACTTCTTCCAGTAACTCAAATTTCAGTCCAATCCTCACAAAGATAACCTCAGGATTTACCTAGGATTTTAACCCCCTAAATACCCAACATATTCTTCTCTGTGTAATTGTCCTAATGTTTTTAGTATGCATTCAGTCACCTAAGATACCAGTTTTATTTTCAGGCTGCACAGGAAAAGGAAGCACTTAAGCGTGAAGGTGATGATTTAGATTCAAAGATCAGTAAAGCTGAAAATGAAATTGTTGCTCTTGAAAACACCCTGCAAATACTTAATAACTGCAACAGCAATTACCGAAACTCTTTCAAGGAAGTCACTGAGACAAGTATGTAAAATGTAAATTACTGTTTGCTGTGAGTTACAGATGATGGTATAACTGCTATACAGTGGGGAAATGCAGTGGCACGAAAGAATGAATCACAGCCAGACTAAACTTGTAGTAGCAAAAGGGAGTGAAATTGACACACTACTATTATTAGTTCAGCAAGGCTGAGCAGAGTAACCACTGAAAACGTTCACATTCTTCCATCTGATTTATGTGAACATCCTCTAGGCCTATATAAATACTGCAAAGGAACATTTGGAGGAAGCAGAGCATAAAGATAATTACTGGGAAAATCATTAATGGGAGAAAGGAATGACAAATGAAGTATGTAGATAGAGTTGCACAACACAAGAAGCACTACTTTCCCTGCAGTGCTGCATCTCACACTGTAACCAGCTCAAATTGCAGATACAAAACAAACTATGCCACTGATCAGCTTCTGGTATCAACTGAACTAGCTGGGTCACAAAATACCCAGAGCAACTGGACTGCAACTCCAGCTCTGTTACAGCCAGCTTAGGTCATGCACTCCTAGTGAATGCAGATCCTTTAGCTAAGCTATCATATATGGTTCTCACATGGAAGAGGAGAGGAAAAAGTAGTAACCTCTCATCCAGGAAAATGATTAAGAAAAGCAAGAGAAACTGCACTGTTTTAAGGTAGTGTCAGCTAAAATAATAAACTATAAACTCTTTTGGATATTGGAAATCTCAGAATTCTGGAACTTATCTTCACCTATGATTTCTGTCATAATCTTGTATTATTTTCAGTGGAACTTCCTTTATTTAGCTTATAAGAAGCATCATTATGAGCAATTATATAAATTTAATCCTAGAAGATATTTAACTTATGTCTTCTCCTGGCTCTGGGAACACTGGATTTAAAATCATTATCTTCCATAAAGCTAGTAAGTGATTTGGAACAAGTAAGGGAATGTAACAAAAATATCTTAAATCTTGAGGTATCTGTAACACTTTAACTAACAAAGTCATATTCTGCAGTGCAACTATATTCAAGTACAACTTATTTTGAAATGGAAACTGTGTTGTGTACAACTCTGCCTCATTGTTTGGGATCACAGGTGAGGAGTATGAGGAAAAACTGAAACTAGAAGAAGAGAAAAGGGTTGCTGATGAAAAATACAGATACAAACGAAGACAAGTCCGGGAACTTCAGGAATATCTGAAGGTAAAGTACAAGCAAAAGCTCCAGTCAGACATGGCCGCAGCACGTAGTTCAATCCATACAAACCATCTCATCAAAAGAATAGCAAATTCTGGAACAACTTTTGCCTCATTCTCTTTTACAACTTATACTTTGTATCAATATATGCAAATTTTTATGTAAGGCTCTACATATCCTTTAAAAACTGCTTATCTGCATTTCCTTGAGTCACAACTGAACAGCAGGCTTTTTAGTCACGTATGCCTTACAGATCCAAAATCCCAAATCCATGGTGAATAATGCTCTGCACTGGCATCCAAGAAAGCATTTACATCTTTGTAGCACATTGTATCAACTTGTCCAGTATTGCAGGTTTTAAAATCGACCCATCTTGCCTCCTCTGGCACTTTTTTTTGTCTATCAAAGGTGCTCCAGTTTGTCTACACAGCATTACAGTTTAGCTCGAGGAAGCTAGGTGATTCTTATAAGGAAAAGGATAATCTGTGTTCAGGCTCTCTTGGCTCCAGTTATAATTAGAAAGCATCCCAGGCCCTTAAGAAATAGCCTAACTTAATTAAGATTTCACACATTGAAATTAATATATCCTCAAACAGAAGAAACCTAAGGCATGCTGTTATACCCTACACAACTGTTCTAAGCCTGTAGGTCAACATTCTTTTTGCTTATTTTACCTCCACATAACATAGCTGTCGTCCCTCTTCTTTGATGTCAGAAATGTTTTCTTAAGCTAGGTTTGTCTTCATTGGGCATTAAATTCTAGGGAGCTCTTAAAGAATATACTTTCCTGCCTTTTTATTAGTTAACTGAAAACAGAGCCACCCTTATAGAGCTGGTTTTGCTCACTCCAGCTGCTGCATCCCATCTCTTTTCTTGGGAAACAAATGAAGAATGTTATTTTTCTTGGGACAGCTCACAAGGGAAAGTATGGCTCTGCAATGTTTGGTACTACACTGCATAAATCATTTGTAGATGCAACTCACAGCCACATCTGGAAACACATGCCTGTAATTTCATTATTCATACCTTTACAGTCAGTGGGAATTTACTAAATTAATTAGTGGTCCTTTGTGCAAGTATTCATCCACTGAATAGTCTGAGAGAGCTGCAGTACCATTACTACTATTTGCTTGAGCAACATTTAGAAACAAGTGGTAGCAATAACAGATCCTCTGACAAAAACTGAAAGGACATCAGAACTGCTTTACAACTTAAAACTACTCTTCAAATGCATTTGCAGAGCATGGAAAAAAACTTGGATTCACTACTGAAGCAGGAGGCCATCTTTCAAGAGCAAAATAAGGAAAAACAAACTGTTATATTGCAGCTGAACAAAGACATAGAAGAACAGAAACCAAAGCTAGAAAGGGTTATCAAACAGGTCTGTATGTTGGTTAACAACTTGTAACATTAGTGGTCAACAGCTGTACTGTGTTAAGACCCCAGCACTTGTCAGCAGGTTTCTACAAGGAAACTGCATCTCCATCACAGCATGTTTTAAACTTACTTATGTTAGTGTTCCAGACTCTCCAGAGAGATTCAGTCCCTAAGGAAAACTAAAACAGAAACACAGGAAGAGAAAGACATTGATCTCCGTGCTCTGAAGAACTTCAGCAAAACCATCAACAAATTGCTAGCCGATGTTCTAAATGCAAATCCTGATTTAACTACATCCTTTCAGAAGTACTTTCACCAGGTGAGCTTTGCAGTTAACCTGCCAGTAAAATCCTGATTTATATCAAGGCCTACTGACAAGGTGTCTTTCAAATGCAACTGCCTAATTCAGCAATGAAGTACAGTACTTACAGTACAACAGCAAAAAATGTGCTCATCAGCTTTCCATATACATTTAAATACAAAGCATTATAAACTCTCCTGCTGTGCTGTATCCTATTACACAACTTTTTTTTTCTCCTCCAAATTTTCTAGTTCAATCTAGAGCTGCCAACAGTTGTTTCTGTTGAAGGTAGTCAAAGTTCTCGATCGCCATCCACACAAAGCTCACTGTCTTCTAGCAGGTAAGTGCTAACAGTGTTCTTTTGTGGTGGGTGGGGAGGTGCTCATTTATTTTAAACTAAAAGCTAAAACATCAGAATTATTCCCTACACGATAAAATTCCTTACTCTTGCAGGTTTTCTCAGTCTTGCCTCTGCTTACGCTTACTATGAAAGTTTCTCCCTCCTTTCAGTCTACTAGATTATTTTTAGCACAGAATTAAGTTTAAAATTCACAGTTGAAAACAAATTGATTTTTCTGCAGTTATTGTTCTGTTCTTCTAATTGTGCTGTCACTTACAAGTGGTCTCACATACAAAGTGGCCTTACAAGCCCACATTTGAGCTCAACCAGACTTGGCTCTTAAGTTTGTAAGCTCCCTTTCATAATCAATCAGGAAAGACAGGCCTATACTATTTAACTGATATCTTTCTCCTCTCTCCAACGGACATTTGATTAACAATGCATGAAACATACTGAATCAGGTGTGATCTAACAGCATTTCCACAGGTTACTTAAGCCGTTAGTGTCAATGTCTACCAAACTTCTGTTGTGCATTTCCCTAGAACAGACACTGATTTTGTACACTGATGAATAAATTTTTGTTTTTCAGGTCCTCCAGAAGCACAAATTCAGCCTCTAGTCAGACTTCGTTGCTCAAAGTCATAGACTTGAACTTATCTGTCAACATTCCTGCAGAAGCAGCTGCTGCCAGTTCACCACCATCCAGCAGAACTAGCAACTCTGACAGTTCAAATCACTACTCTTAAATAATCTTTTGAAGGCCACGATGAAGGCTTCTAAATTGTTTAAGCTGAAACTTAATTTATGCAGGTCTGCTGGCAATTAGACCACTATAACTTTAAAATAAAACTTAAAGTAAGCAATATATTATTTACTATAATGGATGTTTTGCATAAGTAAACCTTTAAATATCTTCCTGATTCTGCTGTTGAAGAACAAAAGACCTGCGAGACCTTTTAGAAACCAGTAATTCACATGCTCAATGAAAATAGCTTTAACATAACTAACATCAGTTTTAGTTAACTGGTATCTCACAATTACTGCAGTCTGCACAACTCAGAACTCCAGGTAGTCAGCTGACTGCATTATGCCTATTCTGTGCTTGCAAAAGCTGCAGCAGGGGCAATAAATCTGTAAAAAGGATCAAGCTTAATCTTAATTACAAAGATGTCACATATTTCTGTAACTGTCTTTCTTACCTTAACAGCAATGCGGAACATTTGCAACAACCCAGACAGTAGTTGTGCACTGTTTCCAGGTCACTCTTGACTTCTTACAGCCATCTTACCATAATCAAAAGATGATGGTATACAATAGTGTAGTCAAAGTCAGTAAAACACTGCTTTGCAAAATTACATGCTACCCTTTGGCAACTGACATATTAAGAATTACTCTGCAGAGGTACAGATGAAATGAAATACAACTGGTATTATACATCATTAGCCAGATGTTAGCGAGTACTACAGTACTAATAAATAATAATAAATTTCTTTTTACAGAAACATTAGAGAATGTGTTTGATATACCTAAAGAGCACAAGGCATTTGTCTTCTCCCAGACACTGGAGAGTTCAATTCACTAGAGCTGCACATAAAACAACCACTGCACCTCTACCAAACAGCCCAGCAACAGTAACAAAAAACCAAGACACAAAATTAAGAAAATTTATTGATCAAACGAGTTATATATGTTGATGGCATATGAATTTAATTTAGTATTCCACCTTCAATGGCTGGAAGTTAAAGCTTGAAGCAATAGTCAGTTGTATCCCAGGGGAAGAAAAACAAAAAACAAATTCCTGCTGTTAAAGTGTATTTGATGGAAGTTCCACAGCCACAGTCCAAGAGAATCAAATGATTTCATTCCATCACACAAAGCATACTGTACAGGAACATCTTGAGAGGATAAGAAAATTTGATTCTAAATAATAATCAATATCTTATGTAAGGTATCATTGCATCTCTTTCCACCACAAAAATCTTTACCTTAAGAACTCTTTGACATTCTGCAAGACAAGAAATTCTGCTTGTCATTTTTCACGTGTGTTCCCTTCAAAGAAGCCCAGATAAAAATGCATAACTACATCCAACAGAAAGCATTTTCTTATGTATTTTGCTGTTTCTTCTGCTTACTTCCTTTTTCCCGCTCAAACTCAGCAATCTGATTGAATATGTTAACTAAGTTCTGGGGCAGGTTTCTTTTAGTGCCGCCTTCTGTTTGTCCTGTGTCATTTAAAGTAGATTCCCTGTCTGGTTCCTTTGTTTTATTCATCTCCTCATAACTTCTTTCCCTGTTCTTATGCCCACTTTCATTTCTATGCTGAGTTAACTCCTGCCTATCACTGTCATAACGTTTATCACCTTCGTGTAAAGGAGTGCCAGAATATGATCTGTACTTTCCCATTGACTTGCCAGAATAGTCAGACCCTGCTGGTGACGTGTAATACCTGTCCTGACCCCAGCCGTGCTTTTTATAGTGTTCTCTTCTCCCTTCTGCATCCCATTCCGACCTCCTAAAGTAATGCATCCTGCTTTTATCATCTGACTTATAACATGAACCTGAATATCCCCTTCTACTGGAGAAAAATCTGTCTGTTTTATGGTATCTTTCGGTTTTGCTAGTACTTGCCTGAGTTTTGGAACTACAAGAATCTCTTGAATCTTCAGACCTACCTCCAAAAGTGTCTTCATCATCACCTGAAGTCCTCGACAGAGAACAGTGTCTGTCTTTCTCTCTTACCTCTGGTTTTGGACATACTAAGCTGTCCTGCCTTTCCAGCAGTTTCTCCATTTCAAAATTTTGGTTAAGGAAGGAGGCGGAGGTATCAGCTGGAGGTGAATACCACTCCTCTTTCCTAATCTGATCTTTATAATGTGAGGAAGCTCTGGAAGAGCGTTTTTTGGAGCTATGGGATGACTCTGATCTATTCCGATGCTTTTTCTTGCGTTTCTTGTGATCAGAGGAAGAGGAGGAAGAAATTGATGCATCGGATGAAGAATCGGTTGAGGATGAAGAAGAGGATGAAGAGGAGGAGGAGGAGGACGAAGAAGCTGATCTTTTCCTTTTCTTCTTCAACCTAAAAATACAATTAACCTGTGAGGTAATCTTCAGCATTAGGCAAAGATTTTATCTACAAAACAGTTCTGCACTCCCCATAGTCTGGCTGAGATTGGACTGTAAGGCATGAACAGAAACTGGGCCTGACTTAGCAAGACACTTTAAAACGTCATTTCTTTACCAAAAGAATTAAGATTAAATCCACTGAACAATGTATCACAAAGTATGTCCTGTTCAACACAGCACTGCGCTTCAATACTTTACGAAGTCTTACAAAGTATTTGTAAACATCTATTCAATAAAAGGCTGTGTAACTAACAAATGCTACCATTACATAGTTCATTTGAAAATCGATTATACGTGGACTTACATGCACTTGTACCCTTCTCTTTTTAAAATCATAAGGCCTATTCAATGGCTAATGTTGAAATAATAACAGGATGCAGATAATGACTCAAATTTAGTAGACTGCTCACGTCAGAGCTCATTTTTCATCAGCCCACATTAAAAGCATGCGGTTGGGACACAACCATGGAGCTGTGTTGCTTTAGGTACTGTGATTTTTCTTCATTTAGCTCGTGCATTAGCTGTCAGAAACTCTAGAATTTACAGTGGGCCCCTTAACAGTTTGTAACTTCCTGGTTTGGGATGCTTTCTCTAATAGAAAAAAAGAGCTCACATTCTGGCTTAATGTGCTCAAGAATCAGTACTGAATCAACAAAGGTTACCTTTTTTCCTCTTTTAAAAGCTTACGCAATTTTTCTGCACTTGTTTCTACTTGCTTTTCTTTCTCTCTCTCTTCTTTTGCAGCTTGTTTCTCTCTCATTTCCAAAGATTTCTTTTTTGAACCCAAACATCGTAAAAAAAAATTCATTAAAAGTGTTAATTAAAAGTTAAAGTTTTCCCCATGCCCCCAACGCCATTCAAATATATGGTTACAGCACGGATGTTTTAGCAGGATTCCCAGATTGACAGTTAATAAGAAGTTTGGCATTGGCCATTGTTATGATCAGGTTTTTGTTAATGACCATATCGCAGTTTTTTATCCATTGGGAATGTATTTGACCAACCATTGCAGTGGACCCGTGATCCAGCACACCACGAAACACGTGGTCCAAAGGGTATAGAGAGCATATGCAAGAAGAACACAGTGTTAGCAGTGTGGAGGAAGAGAGCAGGAAAATGTTAAAAAAAAAAAAAGAAAGAAAATATTAAAATAAAAAAAAAGATTGGAGGGGAAATATTGTTATTGCAGTTTACAAGTAAAGTATGGCAGAGCCCATTGTAAAATGTGTTGAAGTTGGCCATGTTTGCATACAAACCATTTTGTAACAATTTCACAGACCAGTTTGATGCATAGTTTACGTAAGAAATCATGTTCCAAGGGTTTGTTGGTGATGAGCAGCACCAGATGTCAGATACAGCAACAATGGTCCAATTCAGAAGAAAATGCATTGAAGAAAAACACATAATCAGTATTACAGGAAAACACACTTGGGTGTTGTTTCAGCCATTCTAACACAACAGTGACAGTACCAGACTTGCATATTCAAATGCATATAAATGCAAGATTGTGATTATCAGTTGAATAAGACAAGCCTATTAAAATCTAGTAAGGATCAGACTTCTGCAATCTACACCCCTAAAGAGCAGCTCTATTCAGAAACAGAAGCAAGTCTGGTGATTTTCAAAACTTAGCAGTAGTCACAACAGATACAATAAAGGAAACCCTTAATAGAAGATACAGCTACGCAAACCAAAGAAACAGCCCACGTTATGTTTACCTGCTGCATCAATGACCATAATACCAGAATTACAAAATGCTGAAAGAAAATGAAGTATTTCCTACTTGCTACAAATATTCTTCATTTTAACCAAGGCTTTAAGATCTTTCCACTGCAGCCAAACATAGATAGTGCTCAAATACCATACAACAGTTCATCTATAATGCAGTTCAGTTTTATTAAAAAGGTTGTCGTAGATCCTCTTTCCCTTCTCTCAAAGCAACCTGTCAGCATTATGGCTTCACCAACTGAAGAAGCATCAACTGAGGCCACCTGCCTTAGTCTCTTTACTTCATAATATGCAAAGCAAAGCATAGAACACACCAAGCCTGCCCCTCAGTGCTTAACCTTACTATGATCCTCCCTGGAAGACAATACAAGTAAAGGAGATAAATAAAAGGAAAACGGGGAAGGAAAAAAAAAAAAAAAAAAAAAAAAAGACAACAGATTAGCAAAAAGATTAGCCAGGGCTCACCTGGGAAACATGCTGTGTGCAAGGGAAGGGAGGAAAAAGATAGCTAAGATTTTCAAAATCATCTGCCCATCCTCCCAGCCCACTCTTTTCCTTTAAATCACCTACAGATTCCCCCCTTGAAATCTTCCTGCACTTTGGCTGGTTTTACCTAAGGTTAATGGTTTTATCCTCTTTTCCCATCTCCACTGTTTGGCATTTTTTCACTACTCTGTTCAAAACAGTGGAGTCATCAAGAGGTACCTCTCTTCTGGTAGGTACAGCCATAATGCTCACTATAAAAGATTTACTATGGAGAAGGGAAGCAGAGAGCAAGACAAAGCATCACTGTCGAGCCTCTCTGTTCAGAAGACTTAAAATGATTTTTATTTATAATTATTATGATGATTTATTATATTGCTACTTATAATATTTATTTTAATTGAGTTATATGAAGAGAAAGTAAAGAATCACCTGTATACGCTTACGGACTTTTGTTAAGGCCTCTTCTGCTTCTTGAAAAGTCTCATCCAAACTTAAGGCTTTTTTATAGTAACTCTCAGC